ACCTACACTTGGTCCTGTAAGTCGTCTTCAGTTTTTTTGAAGAGCACACATTTATTTGATATACTGAAATTTCGTGAGGTGCTCCACTTTTCTTTTATCAGCTTAGCATAGATAATAATTAGCTTAACTAGATGCTTAGAAAACTTTAGACGAGTTGTGAGAAACGACTCTTGTTGGTTTAGAAACAACCACTGCCAGATTTTTTTGCGCGGTGAGGGTTCCCATCCTTTTTCCAGTGTTTGTGGATGTGCTGAGGTAATTATACCTTTTTGCAAATACAAAAACACATATTGTGACGACCCACAAGATGTGAGTTTGCGTGTGTATGTTTGTGCGTGTGTTTGTGTCTGTCTGGGTATTTCAACTCGGCTACCAAGCAAGCTTCGGCGGTGGGTTTTTACCAGTGGGTTCCCTGGCCAAGTGCAATCCAGGATCGCACTATCAACCTTCAGTCACGTTTGACCCCGCAGAAAAATTTTAACGGGAAACATTCCGTCAATTCGGGAACTAGAGGAGATGAACGGCTGAAATTTTGACGGAATGTTTCCTATCCAAGTGCATCTTAAAGATTCGAAATCCAGCGCTCAAATATGTGTGGTTCTTACGCAAGACATTAAAAAATTTTGGCGGGAAAATTGCTCACTGTCATTTTCGAGGAACGACCGTAAAGCAGAAGTTGTTTGTTCTCTTTTTTGCAAAAATTACGATGATTTACGCTAGTGGGCGCACAGGGTAAGTGTAAAGCAGCAGTCACTCATAAAGTTAACGACCTGATTGCTTCTCGTTTAGTGAGAAAACACACGATCGCACCAGCAAATCTGGTCGTTCCAGTCCAGGGTTTTTGTAGTTGCTTTTATCATGTGTAATTCCATTTCCATATAGTAGGATATGAAATACGAATTATTACGTTTGTTGAAAGAAAAAAGCTGGCGAGAACGACGCATGGTTGGGGCGGTGTCTGCAGTTTATATCCTATAAAATACTGTTGTTTCGGTCTGGCGGAAGCTATATTATGAAGTCACTGTCTGGCAAGAAAAAAGCTGGGCTTGCTATTTGGCGATGTAATAAGAGGTGAA